GTTTGGCCAAAAGCCTCCTCTGATGTTGACTTCAGGGCTTCTTTCCTATACTTCTATAATGAATTATCATACAGGATGCTTTTGGAGAGAGGGCTTCACAGAACATCTGGGGACCAAAGGGCCATCCTTTTTGTTTCCAACAACTGCTTTCTTTGAAAATCCATACACACAAATCCTACCCCCCAAATTATATTCTTTACGAACATCAAACTCTTGATGGTTGTAAGCCCTCACTGGGATCACTTCCGCTCCTTTCTTTGGTGCCCTTGACCAAATCAAGTCTCCCCAGGAGAAAAAGTCTTTCAGAAAGGGCAGCTAAAAGCCAACAAGCAGTTAGAGCGAAAGACTTTTTCCCGTTGCCTTCACAGAGAGGTTGGGGAAAGTGCACCTTTGATCCCTTTCATCTGCCTTGCTTTTGATCAGGAAGCAGGGTGAGTAAAAGGAATGCGCCACTTTCGCTGGCATTTCATAGGCCAAGACCCCTGGATCTATGAAACGGGAGAGCTGATGCTTCCGCAAATGCAAGGTTAACCTTGTGGAAAAGTCTGTAAGAAGAAGGTGAAACGGGGTGAAATGCATTCAGCTGGAGAATGGAGACACCAAGACATTTGAGGAGCAAATGGACCATTCTTTAGAAGGGAGGAAAGAGATTGTTGTGTTGCTTCGACTCAGCTTTAAACTAAAACCAAAGACCGCCATCTTTGTGTGCAGCTGTCCTACATGATGAGGATCCACCAGAATTGTGGCTTGGAGAGTCTTCCACTACAGTATTCTCAAGATATCCAGGACAAGTCCCAAATAGCCAGGATTGGCGTTGATCACAATGGATTTTTTCTATTTTTTCTATCCTGCTCTATGGATGTAGAGAGTTGGTCTCTGACGGAAGGCCAACTGAAGAGACTAGAAGCATTTGAAATGTGGATTTACAGGCGGCGGTTATGCATAAGCTGGGTTGACAAGATCAGAAATCAGGAGGTGATCAGCCGCCTGGGAAAGCCAAGGGAAATCATAAAAACAATTAAAAAATGAAAATTAGAATATTTTGGACATGTGATGCGACACCCAGAAAAATACAGCATACTCCATTTAATCCTCCAGGGAAAGATTGAAGGCCAACGAGGTCCAGGCAGAAGAAGAACATCGTGGCTTCAAAATCGTTCCCTGACCAAACCTGTTTTGAGTCGTCGTGAAAAAGCACGCCGACGACTATTTTTGTCCTAGCGGTTGTACTAGCGGTTGCAGGCTATTACCTATACCGTGTTCTTCTTCTTCTGTTACCTACCTAAGTTTAGTGACAAGTAAACTCGAAGGATCATAAGACTCTATTTAGGGATTGAGTAGAATTGTTTCGGTAAAAAACCATCCTGGTTCTGTCAGGCCCAGCCCAAGAATGATACAAAACAATCTAGCCAAAGATGAGTTCTTTAAATGGTCGCACCAATAGACAGAATCTTGCCAGACTAAATCTACAGTAAAGGTAAAGTTTTCCCTGTCCAGTTGTGTCTGACTCTAGGGCCCAGTGCTCATCTCCGTTTCTTGACTGAGGGAGCCTGCATTGTCCAAAGATAATTTCCGTGATAATGTGGCCACCAAAGGTACATGGAACTCTGTTACCTCCCCTCCGATGTGATACCTATTCATCTACTCGCATTTGCATGCTTTCAAACTGCTAGATAAGCAGGAATTGGAGCAGCTCACCCCACTGCGAGGCGCTCAGGTCTCAAACCTGGTCTGTCAGCTTTCCAGTTGACAAGCTCAGGGTCTTTAACCACTGAGCCATCCTGCCTATATTAGTATACCAAACCTATACTACTCTTACCCTAATAGATATACCTGGAGGATTCTAGGGAGTGGTTCTTCTTACTCTCTTCCTCTGTCTCCTTTCCAGCTCTGGGCTACGCTGCCTCTTGTCTTGCCTCTTTCCCTTCTTCCTGGGAAATTGCCACTTCTCTTTAGTCCAGGGGTAGTCCAACCTTGGCTCTTTTATGACTCGTGGACTTCAACTCCCAGAATTCCTGAGCCAGCATGGCTCAGCTTGGAAACCTCTCCCTTTCCTCTCAGCATGGCTGGCTCAGGAATTCTGGGAGTTGAAGTCCACGAGTCATGAGGGGGCCATAGTTCCCCCATGCTGGCTTAGGAATTCTGGGTGGGAGTTGAAGTCCACCAGTCATGAGGGGGCCATAGTTCCCCAGCCTTGCTTCTAGATCAGGGGTAGGCAACCTTGGCTCTTTTATGACTCGTGGACTTCAACTCCCAGAATTCCTGAGCCAGCATGGCTCAGCTTGGAAACCTCTCCCTTTCCCCTCAGCACAGCTGGCTCAGGAATTCTGGGAGTTGAAGTCCACGAGTCATAAAAGAGCCAAGGTTGACTACCCCTGCTTTAGTCCATCACACTACTTCCCCCTTTCGTAGACAGAATCCTCAGAGATTCCTCGTCTCCAGATATTTGGAGACCACAGCTCCTAGAATTGCCAGAAGCTTAAGACTTTTTGAGAGTCGTACTCCCAACTCATCTGGAGCTGGGGAAGGCTGTTGTTAAATGAATGTCATCCAGGGCCTCTAAACATTCAGAGTATCATTTCAGAAAGCAGCAACTGCCCGATTTAACCAAGGTAGTAAATGGAGTGGCCTTTGGCAAGAACAGTACAGCTTTTCAACCAAATTGACTTCTCTGAATATGGAACCAGCAGGTTGAACACAGTAGGGCTCCCCTGTGTGTTTCTATAAAGCATGTTACTGCAATGGCACATGGTCATCTTCTAGTCAATAGGCTCCAGGGGACACTATATTCTTCCGTGAACTTTAAACAGTATGCCTCTTCCTGACACTTCAGGCTGGAGCTGCTGATGGTTTTTCATTAATTTAGCTTTACCGCCTCCACTCTGGCCAGCTCAGGCCACACACTGGGGCCTTTTAGTGGCTGAGAAGTAGGCGGCCAGTGGGCGGATGGAGGAGAAACAAGATCAATCTGCCTTCCACAATGAGTTGTTTGAAAATAAAATTGCTGCAAACAAAGATCAAATCCTTTCACCAGCAGAGAGATCAGCAGAGAGGGCATCTGCAGAAGAAGGGGGTGGATAGCGCCGGTTCAGTCGATGGAATATTTTCTCCCAAGGCAGCAACATCAGCAGAAGTGGTTGGGGAGATCATTAGCTGGAATTCATATTACATTTCCGTTCTCAGCATCTCAAGTACATCCAGAATCCTGCACCTGGAGATGGAATACTGCCAAAATGACGATTGATGATGATGATGATGATGATGATGATGATGATGATGATGACGACGACAATGACGTTAGCCATTCAGTCATGTCCAGTTCTTGATGATTCTATGGGCCAGGTCTCTCCATATCTTCTGATCTTGCCTTTGATTTTCTTCCTGTCTGGCCAAACTGCCAATGTAATCTGCACTTTCTCCTCCATGTTAATTCTTCAACCAAGGCCGTTTCTAACTCTATTATTAATCAACAAAATCCAGCCAATTGATAACTGGCAAACATCTTTTTCCAGCCAATGAAATCCTGGAAACAAAAAGTCCACTCAGCTTGCCTTGGAGTGCTTCTCCTCATGAGAAAAGCTTTTCTCATGGGTAGTCCATTACTCTTAAGTTGTTTCCTTCCTTAGATGACCAGTCTTTCACTTGACCGATACTTAAAGTCTAATGATTCCATCTCATGGCTTCTAGGAACACTTTGTTGCCCACGATCTTCTCTCTCATGGTTTTCTAGAGCTTCCTCCAAAGAGAAAGCACAAAGGGAAAAGAGGGGGGGGGGGGTCTTTGACCTTAACACTGGACCTCTACCCCTTCTTCCCTGCAGCTGGGTTAGAATGAGAATTGAAGTTGCAGGATCCAATCTGAGTCGGTACACCGGGACTAGAGGTTTATTCTTCCAAACGTCTTACTCTTTAGAATGTCCATACACGCTGAGGATGTATGAAGTCTGGAAGCTTGGAAGAGTAAACCTCAGTGACGGACTCAGATTGGATCTTGCAACATTGTCCTGAGACACGTATATCTGGACACGTATATGGACACGTATTCCATTCACAAGAATTAAAGTGTCTATGGGAAATAGGGCTGGAAAGGAATTGTATGAGAGAATGAGGCTGGTGGCAGGTAGATGACAAGAGGAGGCGGATTCCCCTGAGAAATGGAAGCTGAACAACATATTGAATTGGTTTTCCACTGTCCTAAGTCATGTTTTTTATTTCCATTATTAAAAAAAAAGAAGTGGCATCTTGTTCAAGGAACCACTTCTTAATTTAGTAACTGAACATCAATAAGCCATTAAGAAGAAACTAATTGCTGTGGCTTCTCCCTGGGCATTGCCTTGGTAAACAAAGCACTGAGATAATTCACTATTAATTGTTCTGCATTTGGAAGCAGTAAGGCAGGCTATTTCTGCCTTGCTATTCCAATACACTGAGTGAAATCTCCATGATTAGGGTGACTCCGGTCTTCTTGCTTCAGAGAAACCAGTGGGGGGGGAAGCAGCATCTGGTTTTCAGAGAGTGAAAGGTGAGGATTGTGGGGTGCATAGGAAATTTGAGGGGTGGAAAAGAAGGCAGCCTTGAGAGCACTAAATAGAAATGTTTGGTATCCTTGAAGACCACAGAACTAGATACGTGCGTTTAAATTCAGTTGGGTTGACAAAACACGGCTACTGTGTTCCTACATTTTGTTTTCCTTAAGTAGGTAAAACCATAGTATGGCCTAACATCGCATCATACTAAAAGCACACATGGTCAAACACGCACAACCCCAATTAGCTCAACTTGGCAGTATGTATGAACCCAACCAAAGACTTTCAAAAATACTTGGCCAGAGAAGAATCGTTGTCATCATCGTCATCATCATCATGGTCATGATCAATATCCTCCTCCTCCTCCTCCTCCTCCTCCTTCCCCCCCCATTTCCACACACACATACCACCTGCTCTCCCACCCCATCCAGACACAGAGTACCAGCATACCCTCACCGCCACCACAAACACGTACCTCCACCTGCTGACAGATCTGTATCAGTTTGGCCATCTGGTTTTCTAGCTCACTATTGCGTTTCACCAAGTTGGTGAGGTTCATCTCCAAAGTTTGCTGCCAGCACCGAAAGAAAAGGGGAGACAAAGGAAACAAAAAAACGACAAAGAATAAATATCAACAGGCCACAGAGACTGGATAAAGCTAGCCAAAGTTTCCTAAGCATTCAAATGGCCAGGTCCACATGTGAAGGTTCAAAATTTATTGCTCCAGCCTATCTACTGGAATCTTCTCCGACTAACCGTTTGCACCTGGGTAAAACTACATAGGATCATCGGCGTTCAAGAGGGGTTGGACTTTGTCCTCGTTGACTATGTAGAGATTCTAAAGTGATGCCCCACTTGACGCCTCCGCCTGGCTCCGCCTGGCTCTGAGCCATGGCTGGCTCAGGAATTCTGGGAGTTGAAGTCCACGAGTCATAAAAGAGCCAAGGTTGCCCACCCCTGGTCTAGGACAACTCACTCAACCAATTTACCATGACCAACTTCCTAAGGGACAATTTGCCATGGGACAAACATTACATAGTATTGAAGAAAAGGTGGAATAGAATCATTAAAGGAAGGATGCAAAATGCAAAAGAGGGACAAAATGAAATATGAATGACAAAAATTAAAATAGTTGGCCATGGCGTGTTGGCCGTGACGAGTTGCCCCTTTCCATTTTTGCACACTAGACAAAGCCTGGGCCAACCCTTAAAAGCCACAGGAATGGTCACACCCCTGACCTAAGGGATCGAACAGCCCAAAATGGTCATTAAAACAAACTGGGCAAGGAGAAGCTTAAAGTCTGTGGCGATTCTCAGTCATCCAGGTCATGGTTGTCCCCAAGGTGCTTTTTCAAACGACAAATGGACTTTCTTGTTGTTGTTTTTTTCTTGAAGACGTTTCACGGCTCATCCCAAGAAGCATCCTCAGTTCCAAGAAGGTTCAACCCCCTTTTTGCACTCTGATTCAGGTGACCCTGAGCACACCGATAAATCCCCGAGTGGCCTCAACTCTCTCTTGCAGATGACTGCAAGGAATATAAGTCCTTCCATTTCCCAACATTCAGCCAGAACTGAAGAAGCTTCTTGGGCGAGAAGCGAAACGTCTTCAAGCAAAAACAAAGAAAGTCCTCTGAAAAAAACACCCTTGGGGGGAGGCTGAAAGGCTTCCAGACGCCCCCACCACAACGAAAAAGATCAAAAGATCAAACTTTAAGAGGGGGCAACCAAATTTCATTTTTGATGTGTGCTGTTGTGCCCACAGTAAAAAAAATGACAATATAGGTTATCTTATCTATCTTATCTTATCTTATCTTATCTTATCTTATCTTATCTTATCTTATCTTATCTTATCTTATCTTATCTTATCTTATCTTATCTTATCTTATCTTATCTTATCTTATCTTATCTTAAAAGACTAAAACAGAAGAACTCAGAAGCTGCTTAGCCCAACTTACTGGTGTTCCTTTATTTAAAAAAAAAGATTCATGTGCAACTCTATTCCTCCAGGAGAAAAAAAAAACACCCAATACTAATAATGGTCTCCCATTTGTTGCCGCAGAAATTGCTCGGCATTCACGGTTTGCTGCATCAGTAAATATTCAAACGGCAATGTTATTCCTCTCCTCGCCCCCACAAGCGACCAGAGCGTGTGGACTTTGCATCTCGGCTTTCTCCATTTAGTATGTATTAAACAGGAAAATAAATATAGTTTGTGCTACTACGGCAATCTCGCTTTCCGTTTTCACTTTGCTAACTTCATTTATTTCCCCTGTGACCTAGGAAAGCTCGGGCTGCCACAAGCCAATTCTTTTCTTCTTCTTCTTCTTCTTCGTCTTTTTTTCTTTATGTATTATTAAACGGTAATTTGATATCACAAAGATGCCAGTTGATCCAAAGTTGTATGGCAGGGCTTTTCAACCTTTTCACCCATTGTACCACTTTTAAGATATGGCAATATCCGAGTACCACCAGTCGCCCAGCAAGGTGTCAAAAACTTGATGACCAAAAAAAAAAAAAAGGAAAAAAGTGATAAAGTACAGGTAGTCCTCGACTTACAACAGTTCGAAGTTACAATGGCACTGAAAAAAGTGCCCCCCAAGGCACAGCCAAGCAAGACACCTGCCTGCCCGCCTGATGGCGCTCTCATTCCCCTCCCCCGCTACCACTTTTCTAGGATGGTCGCGTACCACCAGCCAGGTGCCAATGTACCACAGGTGGTACCCGTACCACTGGTTGAAAAGCCCTGTTGTATGGGACAGTTTTGTCACACATATCCTCAATCGCCCATTTTTTGAATGCTGGCTTTTGCAACTGCTATCATTCCTATAAAAGCACTTAACAGCCTTGCTAGCAGCCGAAATGTTAGTCACAATTTTGGTTGTAAGTTGAGGATGGCCGGTATCTGGACTACTTACCCAGAGTGGTATTAATGAAATTTAATTAATTAACTTCCCCTATCTTCACTAAACAGGATCTAAACAAACCAATGCAAACCAGCTGATTACTATCCTTTGCTATCATGTTTACTTGCAACTCACTGCTATTAAGGCCATAATTCGGCTAAAAACAGAGAGCGTTTCATTCACTAATTATCTCCCACTTGCCAGTTTGGCAGCTTAAAATTTTCAAGCTTGGAAATGAGGCAGATTCTCTTTAATGCAGCTAATGAAGGAAAATTAGTGAGGAGATTTCTCTCGCAAGCGAGTTGCCAGACGTGTGTAGAAATGTGCGGGACTGCTCTCAGCAAGGAACCAGTTTTTCCACCCAGACAACTTAATACATGTTTCTGTTTTCTAAAGGAGCATTTTATGCAGAACATCAATTCACAGAAATCTTCCCAAAGTGGACTAGAGATGCCAATGTGTTTTACACAAATCGCCAAGGTCTCTGATTTCTGTTGTGGGCATCTCAAATAAAGGAATTCTCTTTTTTTTCCTGCTTCAAGTGAGAATATGTGGTCATAACCAAATTACATTCTAGACCAATGGTGGCGAACCTATGGCATGGGTGCTAGAGGCGGCACTCAGAGCCCTCTCTGTGGGCACGCGAGCCGTCGCCCCAGTCCTAGGCCTTCAGCTGGGTTTTATAAAACCTTTTCGCTTTAGGCCTCCGCCGCCGTGTGCAAAAAAAAAAAAAAGGTTCAATCAATCAATCAACTTCAACTTCTTGGGGAAAAAAAAAGATCATGCAAAGTTGGAATTGATTGATTGTACTTTTTAGTCCCACCCAGTCTGCCATTACCACCGCAGCCATGCCCACCCAATGGGCCATGCCCACCCAATGGGCCACACCCAGCCAATGGGCCACACCCACCCAGCACTCGACGATGCATAAATGGGTTTTGGGTTGCAGTTTGGGCACTCGGTCTCTAAAAGGTTCGCCATCATTGTTCTAGACAATCCCAAGTCTAGTGATTGACTTGTGTATAGGTTTCCCTGCCACTGATAGGTCTCTGAAAGAAAGCTGAAAACTCCTGGAGCCATTATTTGATGGATGGATGGATGGATGAATTTGATTGATTGATTGATTGATTGATTGATAAGCTGTTTCTATATTGTGCTCAACCTCAGAGGCTTGAAGAGATGTGGACTACAACTCCTAGCAGGTGGACTTCCTTCCACTGTAGCTGCCTAGAGTTGCCTCTTGGCAAGATGGGCAATGTGTACATTTAATAAACAATTAAATAGACTTCCAGAATTCATGCATACTGGTTAGGGAATTCTGGGAGTTGAAGTGCACTGGCTGGGGAATTCTGGGAATTGAAGTCCACACATCTCCAAACTGTGGAGGTTCAGAAACACTGCTTTGAGCAATGCCTAACGGAGAGAAACTTTAAGAACCGTGACACTTATTTGTCGTGGTCTGTATTTATTAAACTCCAGGAAAAGTGGAGGAAGCTGAGACTTCTAGGGAAGGCATGGCAAACTGAAAATGTCTCAGAACGAACAGCCTTGGGAAAGACCAAAGAACCAGTGAATAAACCAGTTCTCCAGAACCTTTCTGGATAAGGAGAGGACAGGAGATTGCCCAATGTGCTCCAGACAGCGGCTCCTCATTGGGAGACAAGGGGATTAGCCACCTCGTTTGCAACTGGGTGGAGCCTTTTAAAAGACATTATTTTCCAAGTCTCACTTTTCAAAATTGTCTATTAACCATCTTAAAACTGTTAAGAGACTTTTGGTGTGACAAGTTTGAAAAGTTGCCAGATGAGTTTAGCTTCAATTCTGAAAAAAAGAAAAAAAAATCATTACAAGCTTAAGAACTTAAAGGTTTTAAAATAAACAACAAAGCCCCTAAATAATATTTTTATCTAAGAAGATTACAGATGGTTTAAGGGTTCCAGTTACATTTGGGAATATTGACTTTTATTATATGATTTTGGAATTAACCATAGAAAAAAATAGCTTTTCATGGGAATCAGAGTTATTTTGGCTATCTTGGCTCATAACAAACATAAGTGACTTTATTATTTTAGAAACTGGACACTAGAAGGAATTAAAGGTTCTATGTAGAAGGAATTTATTTATTCTTTCTTACTAATCTTTTTTCTTTAAGTCTACTTCTTTTGGTTTTTACTACTGTAATCAAAATCCTTAATACAAAAATTGTAAGTCAAAGTGAAGGGGACCAGTATGATGTAATGGTTAAGGAGCTGGACTGGGAGTGAACAGATCCAGGTTCTAATTCTCCTTTAGGTATGGAAACCAGCTGGGTGAGTTTAGATCAGTCTATCTGATCCCCTAAACTGGGAATTTGAAAAACATTCCAGAAAAAGGCAATGGGACATCACTTCCAAAAATGTTAACAAGAAAACTGCATGGGCCTATCATGTGGTCGTCAGGAATCAAGATTGACTCATAGGGGTCAATTTATTCTCCAAAGCACTTAAAGGCAGGACAAGAAAAAACGGATGGAGACTAATCAAGGAGAGAACCAACCTAGAAACAAGGAGAAATTTCCTAACAGTGAGAACAATTAATCAGTGGGATGAATGGCTTGCCTTCGGAAGCTGTGGGTGCTCCAACACATGAAGTTTTTAAGAAGAGACTGGACAACCATTTGTCTGAAATGG